TTTGCCCCCTCCTATGATGTCACCATTATGGCCACTCATTAAACTGTCTAGCTCACCATGTAGTTAGTCATCGATTCATCAGAGTGGCCCAGCACTTTCTCACTAGACTTCTCACTCCACATGCAGCAAATAACTGCCCAGTGCATGATGAGGGACAGGCCACACAATCCATGCCCATAGGAGCCTTCCCTCTGGCAGGGAACTCAGACCATCATAAAACTCAATGATAAGTCAGTGGTGATGTCAGCTGTGAAGACTGAGGAGAGTGGCTGGGATTGCTATTTCATATATAGGGGGCTCAGACAGAAGTCCATGTCAGTGTATTGAGTGTAAGCCCAAGGTGGTCCAGGTTATATGTGTGTCTGAAGAAGTGTGTGTCACAGGATGGGGAAAGGCCTTGCAGAAGCCCAGGGACAAAGTTCCATAGCCTGTGTGGTTGAAACAAGAGAGGGGATCAGACATACCTGAGACATAGCTTTGTTTTCCACAGTGAGAATTTTGTCATCTGCTGTGAGTGGACTCATGTGATGAAGTTTCCATGTGGGGACAGACTAAGGATGCAGAGAGATGGGACTAGGAACCTAGGTGGGACAAGCTTCTAAGTGAACCTGGGAGGTGGGTGAGGAAGGCTTCCACCTACAGATTCCTGTAGACTACACAGGGCATTGGTCCTACAGACACCCAAGTTCACAGATACTCAGGTCCTTATTTAAAACAGCCCGGTGTTTGTTTAGATCACACACACATGCTCACACGATCTCAGTATCATCTGCAGATGACATATAATCTTGCTAAAAGGAAGGGCAGTTATTGTTCTACTGTATTGTATCACTTAGAGAAGTGGGGGAACCTCATGTGTTCAGCACAGATTCTACTTTGTGTCAAATATAATTTTCTCTGAAGTTCAATTGAATCTACAGACAAGGAGCTCCCAGGTCTGAGACCCAGACAACAGTCTGTCCTGATGGAGGTTCAGGGTGAGAGGAACTAGAGGAGGCTAGAGATGCTTGCAAGGACTGTTCTCACCCAATCAGTCTAAAATATACAGGTGCCTGGCAGTGGTGGCGCACGCCTTTAATCCCAGCACTTGGGAGGCAGAGGCAGGCAGATTTCTGAGTCGGAGGCCAGGCTGGTCTACAGAGTGAGTTCCAGGACAGCCAGGGCTACACAGAGAAACCCTGTCTCGAAAAAACTAACACACACACACACACACACACACACACACACACACACAGAGAGAGAGAGAGAGAGAGAGAGAGAGAGAGAGAGAGAGAGAGAGAGAGAG